AGCTTTGTGGAGACTCTGATCATCTGTTTATTTCAGGAGAAATGGGTTCAGCGTTCAAACAATCGGTCACTGTAAGCAATTCTTTGAGCTTTGTGGAGACTCTGATCATCTGTTTATTTCAGGAGAAATGGGTTCAGCGTTCAAACAATCGGTCACTGTAAGCAATTCTTTGTTTTTATTTATTTAATGAAACTTCTTAGTTGGGTTCAATCTTTTGATAAAGCAAAATCTGAATGATTTTGGTAGGAGAGAATCTAAGTGATGATTTTGTTATACTTACTGTAGCTTGGAACACTTTTTTGAGTGAAAAATATCAAAATTTGGGGGTTAGCAAGAAACAACTGCAACTCCAATATCAACTTCTAAATGACGGCAAAAATGAACAATTTCTCACAAACGTGACTTTTAAACAATTTCCTGCATACCAGATAGTATCAACTGCTGTATTTGCAATTTTGATAGAATTTGAAGAGTGTTTTGATAGAATATGCAGTTACTCCTTGAATGCACAATAAAAGGAACTAGGGTATAAGGTTCAGGTGTAAAAATGTCGTTTTTAATATTTCTCTTAAGCATGAACGGAACTATACCGAAGGTTGAAATTTTATAACCTATGCTCGATAAACACTACAATGGAAGAAGAATTTGAACTTTGCTTGTTTCCCGCTTAGATCTTAGCTCATAAGTGTTCCTTTAGATGGGTTTGAGAAATTATAATGAGAAATAGACCATAGTAGTGTATGGATATTGAACAAGGTAAAAAATATGCAGTTAAAGGCTTCACTTTCATCAAATACTACAAGGAATATACATATGAGATCAAGTATATTGTTGGTTAAATAATTTAGTGTCAACATGAAATTACTTAAACAGCACAGATTCAACAGTAAGGCTGAAGTACTTGATGTGATATCAGTGTTCAACATTACCCTTTTGTTTCTTTTCTTACTTTTTGACGGGTCAGATAATCCCATAATCAAAATTTTTGCATATCTGACCCTTGTAGCAACCTTTACATTTCTCAGTATTAACTTGCATGTTGTTGCACATTCATCTTAATAGTTTGGGTGATATACATCCAATAATTTTACTTATATAATGATTACATGTATCTATGTACATCTCTTTTGATTAGTATACTTTATCTCGTCACAGAAACATAAAGAAAACAGGGAAAAAGGAGCATCATTTGTGGATGAAAAGGGATTCAGCTGGATCTGGGCAGAAGGCATTAAATCTTGTTCAAATTGTATGTTTTTGTTTCTTGTGGTGAAGTCTTTACTATATGCAATGTCATCTCTACTCAAGCCAATTTTATTCTTTGCATCACCAAAGAACTTTTCCATGTTATGATTATGTTTGGTGAGACAAGATGGAAAAGCGACCTTCTTATGCAAAGCTGTTCACTGCGTGCACAACAAGAGAAATATTAATTACTTTATCTTCCAATTATAACTTACTTTTTTAAATTTATTACAGTCAAAAGCTTTCTCGGTTGAAATATTCCCTTAGGCAGAATATGAGTACCTCTCAGCTTTCCCCTTTTTTCTACATATTTAAGGACAAACTGACTAACTCATCCTTAAAGTATGTGTAAACTCTCAACTTCCCCCTAAAGTATCGATTTACCTATTTTGCCCCTTAAACTATGTTTGTGAGTTGAGTGTGGTCATTTTGTGAGCTCGCACTCAAATGCTTAACATATTAATGACGTGATGGTGTTTCTTTGCATTTCTTTATGGGTTTTTATCAGTTTGTTTCCTTTTTTTCTCAGACCAAAATAATATCTTTACTACTTTCTTCTAAACTTTTTTACTCTCTGTCCATTTAATTAAAATTGAAAAATAAATTTTTAAATTGCATAAACTAGAAGAAATGCAAAACAAATACTCATGTCACTAATCTGTTAAATATTTGATCGTGGGCTCACAAAATGGCTACATTGAGCACATACACATAGTTTAAGGGAGGAAATAGACAAATTGATACTTTTGGGAAAAACTTGAGGGTTCACCAATACTTTAAGAGGGAATTGATCATTACGTGCTATTATATTTGTCTCGCAACTCACAATAGTATGGTATCTCTGAAAGGTCTCAAAACTTCCAAGTGAAAAGGAAGCCATATATGGAGAATTGGACAAATGGACTGCTTGGGAGACAGAATTTCCTGTTATTGCTGCTGCAAAAGCTTTGGAAATTATGCGAAAACGGAACCAGTGGTTACGAATTATTCAGGTGTGTGCTTCTATCTGATTACCATATTTATGGGTAGTCTGTTTGCTTAATATTTCATGGAAAAAATGGTTAATATTTCATGGGGAAAAATTGTTAATGTTACTTTAAAGAGGTCTATCTTTTATATAGTTGTCTGGTATCATTGCAATGGTTGAATTCGTAGTTACCTTTACAGATCCTAGGAGGAGCATTTAAAACCTTTCAGGTTTTCTCTATTTTCATCATTAAGGATTTCTTATGTCATGGTTCATGGCAAACGGAACGACAGTTTGATTTACTATGGTGATCTTAAAGAATTGGGAAATTCATCTGAGGCTTTTACAGTTTATTCAAATCAGATACAAACATGGTTGGCATCACTGTTTCGATTGTCAGACATATTTAGGAATACTAGTATGGTGCACGTGTGTTGCACGTGTATTTAATTTTACGTTTAATTTTTTTGATGATACTTTTTGTGTGTGTGAACTATCCTTTGAAATGATCATCATGAGTAATTTCAGAAAACTCAAATACAAAAAAGCACCAATCATTTGATGTTTGCTAAGAAAATTTTTAGGGATAGCAAGTTTAATGGATAATCATGATGCTCATTTAAAGATATATAATCACGCTGCACGTGGACATAAGTATGAAAGTAATTTTTATATCAAAATAAAATAAATAAGCTTTTATGTGTGTTGCATGTGAATTGGAAGTCTAATACATTAAACTTATTATCGCAAGTAATGTCTATTAGCACATGTTTAAATAAGTATATAATCACATGTTTAAATAAGTATATAATCAGCAAAGATTACTACACCCACCATCAAAATCTAAGCTTTTATGTGTGTTGCATGTGAATTGGAAGGCACTGGAAGTCTAATGCATTAAACTTATTATCGCAATTAATGTCTATTAGCACATGTTTAAATAAGTAACCTACATACTATTCACTTAACTTATGTATGTAATCAGCAAAGATTACTCCATCCACCATCAAAATTTACCCGAACAACAACAATAATATCTCATTATATCATTTCATTCATTTTTTCATCTATATTTATTTTACTAGTTAGTTTTTTAATTACTCATTATTCATGAAGGATACGATGGATTAAATATTAAAAATTTCAAACTCAATCAAGTGCAAATTTTTGACTAAATTTAGTTGTCAAAATTCACTTAAAAATAATGAGAAAAAATATTTATTATGGAGAATGTGCTATATATATAGTTTACATGACCCAAAAAATAAGGAAAAAATAAAGTTTTATCATATATATTTCAACGTTTTCTTTGTTTAGTATATTAATTTATAACATACCAATCATTAAATATCACACACTATGTTAAAATTTTACAAAATGGATTTTCAAGTAATATATAGTTAGTGGAACGCTTGCAATCTCTTATTAAGAAAATGAGTTAATAATGTAAATGAATTTGTAAGTCAAGTGTTTTTAATCCCATCATTCCTACATTGGGATTTTAGGATACATCAAAAAGGCATTTGACATATATCTACATTGCACACATTCAACCAAGTATATGCATTCCATACAGATATTCCTATATATATAATTTTCACATTGTTGTCAATAAATAGTTATTTACTGCTTTCATGTTACTTGACATTAAGAACTATTATGTGAATTTACTTTGTGCCCGATAAACTCCAAATTACACCACAAACTTCCATAAATTACACATAATAGAAAAGCAATTTCTACAAATTTATAAACCTCAAGTAAATAATATTTCTCAAAATAACAAAAAAATGATACAACTCCTAATTACACCACAAACTTCTATTAATCACATGCACATTTAAAAAATAACATCTACAAATTTATGAACCTCAAGTAAATAAAATTTCTATCTACATGCAAGGTTGTTGATAGCGGATTGCGTCGCGTCGCGGCGAGGTACCGCTTAGGCTATTGCGGGCTATTGCGGTAAAATAGCGGCAAATAGCGCACAGTCAAATAGCGGTCAAATATAAATATATTTAAATATTCTAAATAATAAAAAAAATCATATAAAAATCTAAATCTCTGTTGCAGACAACAAGTCTCCAGTTCCAGTAAGCCATTTATCACCTACAGAAATTAACCTTATCCCCTGCTACAGTGTTTTTGTTGTGGAAAAAACCGCCATCTCCAGTAAGTGAAGGGAAAACCTGCTACAGTAATTTCCAAAAAGCCCAACAGTCACTTCCAGCCATGTAATATTCAGCACACTATTCATGTAAGACGAAGAGAGGAAGCCGATTTGTCAAAAAAAAAAAGAGGAAGTCGAAAGCCATTTGCCGCTTCTTGGGGAAGGAAAAAAAAAACCACGGCCAGCAGTACATGCTCCAGCACAGAGAAACCCAAAATCATGCCAAAGAGAAAACGAAGAGAACAAAGAATCCATATGCCATAAAAAAACCAGCTATACATACCCGATTGCATTGGGCTATCAGATTGAGCACTGCAACAGGCATGAGATGAGACCTTTGTTCCTCCATAAACCAGCTATACAACCTGGAAATCGTCGGTCATCGGGAGTGGGAGCTTGGACGGCGTCGCTGGAAGTTGGCGTCACTCGTCGCTGGAGATGGAGCTGGGAGAGGTAGGGAGTGGGGGAGACTGGGAGAGGCAGTCGGGATTGGGGAAGACTGGGAGAGGCGGCTAGGGCACAAAATGAGGGGAGAGGTTTAATATTAGTGGGTACGGGTCGGGTTCGGGGGTGATTCTCGTTAAAATCTGATGCGGGTAATAGCGCTTTTAAGCGCTTTTAGCCGCTAACACGCGCTTTTCGAACACAAAGCGGTTTTTACCGCTTAACCATGCCGCAAAAGCCTAAAGCGTAGCGCTGATGGCCCGCTTCCGCTATAAGCGCCGCGATTGCCCCGCTTTTTGCCGCTTTTTGCCGCTTTTTACAACACTGTCTACATGTTTTTACGTAACCATCTAAGACTATTTTTGAAAGCTATAAGTAAATTATAATAATAGTATAAACTATGATTACCTTTTTACTAACCTGTGATGATTGTCTTTTCTTCCCTTCCTCAACCTTTTTCTCCAAGTTCTATTTTCTATTTGAAGCGGGATATGTTTGACTGAGGAAATTATGTTAATTTATACGAATCATATGACCTTTAAATTCTAAACTGAAATTTTCATTTGTAATCATGCATCATTGATAGGTGTAAATGAGTGTAACGGTAGTGGAAATAATTTTCAAAATAATAAATATATGTCCTCAATTTTTTATAAGTGAAGAACGAAAAGGCTAGAGACAATTTGTACCTCTATCCTAATGATGACATTAATATTGGATTAGTGGAGGGGTTACAAAAATTAGAAGTTAATATTAGTGGACAATTAATATGAGAGTTATGACATTATTAGAATGTATGCATATATATGTATGTGTTTATATGTATGGATGCGTGTGTTTTATGTATGTATGTATGTGGTTTTGAGGGCATTTTTGGAAGAAATGTTTTAACATGCCAATCCACTTTTATAATAGTATTAGATAATCCAATTTATTTATGGTGTCATAAGAAACATGTACGTGTCGGTTACCGCAGTTTATCGCCTTTCTATTTCTATTGAATATCAGCTGAGTTTCCTAACAGTTATAGTGTCTTGGGAAGCACAGGGTATATCTTCCTCAAACTATATGTGCAACATAGGGGTAGGCCTATGGGATGTCGAATGAGACAGTAAAAATGTATACACAAGTTTATATCGTATCAGAGATGGGCATTAAGAAAGCTGAATGAAGAAAATGATTCATGATCCCTACTTTAGGGTTTGGCTTTAATGTTATTGTTTCTCTTGTTGTTATATCTTAGAGCAATGAATAGAAATCAATCATCCTTATAGGGAGTGAGTCTACTAAGCTTGTTTTTAGTAGGCATTCTATGTAAAGTGCTAAACAAATTTTTTTTCCCAGGTCAGTAAGTGGTTATTAAGCAAAGGTCAAGTCCTCACTATGGGAACATATGACACCCTACTGTTGGCATTGGATATGGAGGGAAGGATAGATGAGGCTGAGACTATTTGGAATGTAATTCTGCAAACGCACACACGATCAGTCTCAAAACGATTATTCTCTCGGATGATTGCATTGTATGAGCACCATCACGTTCCAGAAAAGATTGTAGAGGTAAGTTATCGTTTGATCTTATGATGCTATTCTTTTTGAAAGACTTAATGGTTGATTATGGGCTAGATTGTGATATTATTTAGGAAATGTAGTAATCTTTTATTTTCTCTGGGATTATTTTCAGGTATTTGCAGATATGGAGGAATTAGGAGTGAAACCTGACGATGACACAGTTAGAAGGATCGCGAGAGCTTTTGAGAAATTGGGTCAGGTCGAGAATCAGAAACTGGTGCTGAAAAAGTATCAGAACAAGTGGAAGTATCTGCACTTCAATGGCGAGCGTGTTAGGGTTCGGAACCCAGAATATATGAGCAAATAATGCGACTCAATAAAAAAGGGAAAATCCATGATTCATAGTAGTCTGGAATCATCACATCCTGAGGTCTGACTGCAGTTCCAAGTCTGACTGCGGTTCCAGGTGCAGTCTATTGGACAAGGGGAGATCTCAGTATTGTTTCAGGAAAATCCTTCATTCATATAGAATATGAGAATGATTCTCTTTGTAGAACTTTAAATATAAGAAAAGGAGACTGCAGTTCCTCAGGAGAATAAAGGCCAAACTGGCAAGTGGCTCCAACAAATTGTACAGAGGCTCAGATGTATATTTCTTCTTATTTTGTAAGTTATTCTAGTGTATTAGCGGATGCCTTCAATAATTCCTATTCCTCTCTAATTTTGGGTTAATTTCACGTAACCCCATGAACTTTGGGGGATGTTGCACATAACCCCCCTGCACTAAAACCCTCCTGAATTTTACCTTACCTCACCTAAGCACCTGCCTGTAATTTGAGAATAACTTGATGTCTTTGAGTAACAAAAAAAAACAAAAAAACAAATGCTGTCACTTGTCGTACATAGGCAATACACTCCTTCCCTAAATTTTGATATTTTCTCTTGAGAAATTAAAGTTACTTTGCAAATTATAGTAGGGGGTTTCGATAGGAAAAGTTCAACGCTTAGGGGGTTTTGTGAGACAATCTAAAGATTAGGGTGGGGGTGGGGTGTTATGTGACATAGGGCAGTTTTTTTTCTTTTTCTTTTTTTTTCTTTTTGTGCGTAACACCCCCCCAACCCCCAGTCCCCACCCCTTACCCAAAAAAGAAAAAAGAAAAAAAAAGTTAAGCGGGGTTGTGTTTTAATTTTCGTACGTTCTGCATTGTAGAGATGATTCACGAAATATGCAACCGTCCTAAAATATTTTTTTGATAGAGAAAATGTCTTTAGTGCTTGATGGAGGAACTCGTCCTAAAATATATTTTTGATGGATAAAATATCTCTGGTGCTTGATAGAGGAACTCGTCGCGGACAAAATGCTAAAAGCTCCACCACAATTGATGGCGTAAGAGGCGGAATTATTTCCGACGGTAGTTAGGACTTCAGCGCTTGTATGCATACAGCAGGCAGTGCAGATGGGGCGATAGTCGATGTTGTGAACGGCGGAAGTCAAAACTAAACCGATGTGTTTCGAGAGACTAAATCAAACAAACGCCGAGAGAATGCCAAACACAATCAAAATAACGGCACGAACACAAACCACCAATGTTAATGTGGTTCGGCAAGTTGCCTACGTCCACGGGGCAAGAAGGGGATTGAGTTTTCACTAATAGAGAAGAAGAGCATAAACTGAGATTACAACTCACTCGAACTCACTAATTAATCTCACTAATAAATCTCTAATTCTCTCCAAATAAAACCCTAACCAATAGCTCAGAAAATACTTCTTTTCTGTACTCCAAATAAAACCCTAACCAATAGCTCAGAAAATACTTCTTTTCTGTACTCCAAATATCACCAATTCGCTGCTCAATTCTCTCTTCCAATTGTTCCATATATATAGAAATCCTAAAACCAAAAATATACTAGGAATTCTAAAATAAAAACAAAACAAATTAGGAATAATCTGTTACCAAAACAGATTTGGAATCCTGTTACCAAAACAGATTAGGAATCCCAATAACCTGTTACCGAAATAAATTAGGAAACATATTAGGAACATGCTATCCAACAATTCTCCACCTCGGCAAAGTTTTCCTAAAACTGAGCCGACACCAATACCAACCAAACGTCTCACTTGTTGCGTCCAGTACGAAGTGAAACAAATTCACGACAACGGACTCAATCCACAACAAGTCGAGAACCCAAACGAGAATGCGAACAAACTTCAAATGTTGGTATCAACTCACCAAATCGGCTGCATCATAAATGACTGCCTACGTATTCTCTTACCCAAGGAATCAAGCATTTACGTAGTTTACCAAATGGCTTCCAAAGGCCCTCAATCAACTAGAAGAGTTCACAACTATTCTCCAACATAGTCAACAAATCTGCGGCTGATAGCTTTCTTAATGGCTCCAAAGTGAAACAAACCAAACACTTCCATCTGAGGTGAATTAACGGTCATATCCAAATTCAAACTATGTCCACCAGCTGTACTCGAATCAACCAACTCATCATCTGCATCCAAATCCAAATGATCCCCAAACTGTGTCACCTCAGCTGGAATATCAAACGATGTAGTATGATCTGGAGTATGTGGAGTAATCTCCACCTAATGTGGAATAGCATCATCCTCCACCCGCTACGATATCCCAATGATCCGGTCAACACTCTTCACCTACCGAGAGTCAAACGTGACATACCTGCTCAGAACAAAATCAGAGTCTCCTAACCGATAACCAAACGAGCCTCTGAATCCCAAATGTGTAATCGGATCAAATCTCACATCATCGATGTGACCAAATACTGGGCAACCAAACATCCGATGCAACCAAACATCCGACGCAACCAAAAATGTAAAGCAGCTCCACCAAATGTAATAACTCCAAACGTAACAGTCGGCAACCTATGACTAAGATGACCCAAATATGTCGAAACTCCAAAACGCCTCTGCAATCCAATGCTCGATAATAAATGTCGATCCTCCTCTAATAATGAACGATCCATCAAAACTGACATCTCATCTCGTTGCCCTAATGCCTCCTCTCTAATGAAGTGTCTCAAACTGTCCTGAGCTCGGCACAAATGCAAGAAAGAACCCCTACCAAAAATAAAACGACGGGTTACCTTTCTGCCAACACACTTCCTCCATCTGTTGTTGACTTGTAGGACTTCAAACCAACGGGACTTGGTTGTAACCCACCAATGCCTAGAACAGTCCCCAACTACGGAAACCAAATACCCATTACCTCCCAACGATGCCTCCTTGGAAGACCCCCAAATGCCTGAATGAATACCACCTAAAAGACTCCTCGATCGATGGATAGAAGTGTCAAACTTCACATCGGTCTTCTTGCTCATACCAATGTACTCAAAGGACTTCAATCTGCAGGTCAAATCACTCCTCAACAAACCATGCATGACATAACTAATCAAATATCCCGGCCTTAACAAATGCCACAGTCTAGTCAAATCCAAAGAAGTCGCCAGTTCTCTACCAATCACCATGATCCCAATCAAATAGTACAAATTCTTACTCTTAGCGCCATTCATCACAATCATAGACCTAAATATGACCTTCAAACATGTATCCTCTAAGGTCACCCTGTAGGCGTCAAAAAATGCTTACAGACATTCAAACACCACTCAAGACGATATAGAAGAATAATATACACGTCATCAAGCAACATATGGCGGCGCGGCAGGACATGGTGCCGCGGCTATGGCGCGGCAGACCAAGGTGCCGCGGCTAAGGCGCGGCAGACCAAGGTACCGCGGCTAAGGCGCGGCAGCCTATGGTGTCGCGGCTTAACCGCTGCAACCTATGGTGCCGCGGCAGTTAAAGCAGGATGCTACAGCAGTTATAATACAGTTATCTGATGATTATTTAAAGTCCACGTGGCGGAGTATCAGAAATAGAACGTGTGCTGATGTGGAAAAGCAGTTAAACCACGAAAAAGGTGGTTAAAGGTCGTGGGAGAACTGTTTCAAACACGTATGAACGTGGGTGTAACTGCCCCTTTAGCCGCGGCAGTGTCGACTGCCGCGCTCTTTGGCCGCGACAGTGTCGACTGTCGCGCCCTTTAGCCGCGACAGCATCAGCTGCCGCGCCTAAAGAGACAGTTGTTGATCGGCTATTTCTTCAGTTATTGTCCAAGGAGGCTATAAATACCCCCTATGGTCATCATGGACGGGGGCTGAGCATTTCCAAAGCAGATTAGAGCAGAGAGCCTTGAGGTTTGGTGAATTAGAGCAAGAGAGAGAGTCTTTCTTCTTCACAAACATCCTCAAGAAGCTTTTGGCCATTAAATACCCCCTATGGTCATCATGGACGGGGGCTGAGCATTTCCAAAGCAGATTAGAGCAGAGAGCCTTGAGGTTTGGTGAATTAGAGCAAGAGAGAGAGTCTTTCTTCTTCACAAACATCCTCAAGAAGCTTTTGGCCATTCCTAGAGATCTAAGCTCAGACTTGATCTTTGGAAGAGTGAACATCTTACATCGATAAGATATTCGCTTCAAATTCTTACTTCGATAAACGAAGGAAGAATCATTAAACCCCTCACGGTTCAATCAGAATCTGTGATTTGGTGGTCCACGAGTCAAAGCGCTCCCGGCACAGGCAAAGATCCCACGCAAGCAGCGATCCAAACAACGGTCCTGCGTTTGTTTCTCAAGAGTTGTAATTTTCCTTTTGTTGTGTAAAAGAAGTCTTATAAAAAGGCTATTTCTTTTGAATTTGTTGTAATCGACCGAAGATATAATGAATTCCATAACAAAACCAACTTTTGACGCAAACAAGCTGGCGACCACAGTGGGAGCCAACGGTCTCGCTGCCGAGACCGTCGTGTCGCAGCCGATCAAGATCGGTCTCGCTGCCGAGACCGTCGTGTCGCAGCCGATCAAGATCCCGGTTGAATCCATGGTCGAATACGAATTCGACCAAACCAAGTTTGAGGAATATCTCTCATCATCCTCTTCAAGATCTTCATTGTCTCGCGAGTATAAGAGGATCTCACAATTGAGGAAGACTTACATGCCAAAGAAGGCACAAAATGAAGACTCTCGCCTGATTGTTGCTGAGAATTTTACTCGCAACACCTCTGCTCACAATGACTCTTATCTAGTTAAAGAGTCATCGAATCAAAGCCCACCGGCACTGACGAAAAGAGCTCGTCAGAGACAACGCCAACGCCGCGCTCGTCAAATAGCTAAGGCCTTGGAACAAACCGACGGGGTTCGTTATCACGCGGACCTAGAGTCGAGGAGACATCGAGTGGTTCAGTTGTCTCAACGACCAATCACTCATGTCTCTGCTAAACTCACGATGGAGGAATGGACTATTGTCAAAAAGACTCGTTCGACCCTCAAAGAACGTATACAAAAACGTCGTGCAAACGCTGCTCATGCCCGAGCTCTCCTACAACAAAGACAAGAAAGGGAGAAGGAAACGGTGGCCAAAGAACCACCGAAACTCCGCCAAGTTTGGATTCAAAAGTCTGGACTTATACAAAATCAGCATTCGGAGCCCGTTAAGACTCCATACCCACAAGGGGGTGGTTCTAAACGTGCGACTCCCGACATAACCTTGGATCGCTCAAAGACAAAAATAACGACATAACCTTGGATCGTTCAAAGGCAATAATAAATTGTCCTGAGAATGCCAACAAGGTTTTACACTCTCAGAAGAAGACGCATTCACCAAAAGACATCGTCATACCTG